CATCTCCTCTTCGCATTTCTGTCCCAAAGCCCAAGTGGTTTTGAAAGTCACGAGGAGCAAAACCAGTACTGGACTTACTTTACATGTTTCCAACTCTATATGATGCAGCTGTGACAATAAGTTTATTGGGAAGGGGGGAAGGTTGTGTTTTGTTTAGAACTTTTCCATGAAAGTTAGAACAAAAATTAACAATGCTCACTGATTTGACTTGCTTGCAGCTGATACTTTTTCTTAGTTTTGTAAGATTCTGAAATTAATAGCAGTCTTCTGTGCAATTTGAATGTTCTTGAGTAACTTTTCTTTTACATGTTGTCACCTTTCAGTTAATGAAAAGGTCTACTCAGTGACTGTAAGAACTACTGAGATTTCTGTGGCTTTCACCTTCAATGTTCACTAACTTTTTCTTTAGATTTCTGACACAATTTTCGTACATTGGGAATGATGCAGTCCAGCACTTTAAATGGTGGGGGTTTTAGCTGTTGCTGTACTGACTGGAAGGGAGCCAACATACCAGTTTTCAACAGATTTACTGGTATCTATGTATGTGTAATTTACAGAGTCTTCTGATGTATAAGTGAATAAATAAAATAATGGGGTCTACTGTCTATAATTTTAATGAAAAATTAATGTATATAAATCCAGTTAAGCTTATCTAACGAATAGTAGCAGTTATTAAATAACTTTTAATTTTTAGACGAATTAATTAATCTGTGCCTGTTGGGCATTTTAATGATAGGATGGTAACAGTATCTACCTCATGTTGACAGTCCTGGCTTTGGCTTCAGTTACAAGTTAGTTCAGGACTGAAATGCTAACAGCTGCATTCTAAGCACCACCATGCAACAGGTTCACACTTTGCAATGTCTTCTGGTGGTAAACCTGGAGAATTATAGAATCATAGAATGGCTTAGCTTGGAAAGGACCTTAAGACCACCCATTTCCAGCCCCCTGCCATGAACAGGGACACCTTCCACTAGACCAGGTTGCTCCAAGCTCTGTCCAGCCTGGCCATGAACCCTGTGAGGGATGGGGTAGTCACAGCTTCTCTGAGCAACCTATGCCAACACGTCAGTGCTCCCACAGTGAAGATTTCCTTCTTTATATCCCACCTAAGTCTCCCCTGCACCTGTCAATGATGACTTCTACACCTCTGTCTTCATGAAGGGTAGTCCTTCATCTTCATCTCTTGTAGTGCATCTCCAGCATTGCCTAGAAGATTGTCACCGATTTTTGAAGTTGGAGTATGGTCAATCCCTTTGTCCTGAACTGATCCATGTTCCTTCCATGGCTGCAGAGTGTTGAAAACCATGTCAATAAGGCCCTTAGTGGCATGGTTTAGTGATGGACTTGGCAATCCCGGGGGTAACAGTTGGACTTAATGATTTTAAAGGTCTTTTCCAACCTAAATGATTCTATGATTTGCTTGGAAATAGCATGGTAGATTGTAAAAGAGGAACAGAGAAAGATGCATTTTTTTTCTGAGCATTACAAGTCCCATTACCTTTGTCCTGCTCCAGCCTCAGTTGCCTCAAGAAGGTCCAAGGGCTCCATGCATTATTATCTAGTTTTACTGGCTCTGGTTTAAGGCCTAACTCTGCTGAGCTGCTGTCAGAGCCACTCAAGCTGGAGCCTGCCTGAGGTCTGCTGTTACTGAAAACAAGTCTTGAGGTAAATCCAGACTTCCAAATGGAAGAACTCTGAGCCAGTATATAGAGAACATTGGATATTCCAATCCATTTCTATGAGATTTTCTTCAGAATCAACCTGCAGATTTAAGTCTTGGACAGGAGTGTTTCTTCAGGACTTTTGGATCTTTTTTTGTTCCTATAAAGAATAATAAATGCTACAAGGTTTTTTGTGAAGAAAGAAGAAAACACATCCTGGCTGAGTGGTTTGGTATTTAAAAACAAGGTCAAAATGAAGTGAAAAGATATGCAGTTTTATTTTGAAAAAAAAATAAATAAAGTATTTCACAAATTCAGTTATTTATTTGAAGTCCTGTACCTGAAGATGTACAATGAATCACCCACTTGGAGTTAAATTCACTTGTGTGTCTGTGTTCAGACTCCTCCCAGAGAAATGTTATGATCTAAACATGTGGTCGATGAGGTGGGTGAGGAACTGGCTGATATGCTGCAGCAGAGGATGGTGGCAAATAGCTCCTTTTCAAACTGGCAGCCTATCACTAGTGGAGTCCCCCAAGGATCAGTATTGGGCTCACTGTTGTTCAGTATCTTCATAAGTTATCTGGAAGACGGGATCAAGTGTAACCTGACCAAGGCTGCTGACAGTATCATACTGAGTGGGGAAGTGGACACGTTGGAAAGGAGAGCCACCCTGAAGAATTACCTGGATGGGCTGGAAGAGTGGCGTAGTAAGAACCGAAGTTCTTGTTCAGCAAGGACAAGTGTAAATTCTTGGCACCCTTGAAAACATACTTCAGGACTGCAGCAAAGGCTGGCGTCTGCCTGGGTGAGAGCAGCTCTGTGGAAAAGGACCCGGAGCTCCTGGTTGACAACAAGCTTAACAGGAGTAAACAGTGTGCAGCTGTGGCAAAGAAAGCCAATAGAATGCTGGGGAACATCAATAAGGGCATCAGCAGCAGAAATAAAGATGTCATTATCCCACTCAATACTTCTCAGGCCATACCTGGAATACCAGGCTCAGTTTTAGTCCCTGCTATACAAAAAAGATGTAGATGAGATGGAGAGGGTCCAGAGAAAGGCCACAAAAAAAAGGACCAAGGAGCCATATTAGGAAAGATTGAGGGAAATTGTTTTGTTCAGCCTTGACAAAAGGAGGCTCAGGGGAGACTTTATCACCATGTTTCAGTATTGAAAGGGTGGCTACAAAGAAGATGGAGACACTTTTACAGAGTCACATGGAAAAGAGGAGAGGTGATGGGCGCAAGTTACTCCTAGGGAGATTCAGTTTGGACACAAGAGGAAAAGTCTTCACAAGGAGAACAATCAGACATTGGAATAATCTCCCAAGCAACGTAGCGGGTTCCCCAGTGTTGGATATTTTTAAGATTCAGCTGGACAGAGAAATGCCATCTTGTCTAGACCATGTTTTTACCAAAAACGGTTGGACCAGATGATCCTTTCCAACCTGTTATTCTGCGATTTTCTTACAAAACTGGAGATCTCCATTTACAGGTTTGAGACATCAACATTACATACTGACAATGTGGATCTGAGTGAACATGTTGATTGTTCTCCACAACAAGCTAATTACTGCTTAGAAACTGATGAAATTCTGAGGACTATAAATGTTTGCTGAAGTGATCTCTGGAGGTTTTCCTTTTTCTTTTCTTGCTCTTTTTACTCTTTTTGCAGCTAACAGAAAACTGTCTCTGTAGGATTTTTTCTATTTTCCTTCCAGCTTACTGAAACTCCTTTTCCTTAATGTTACTTTGATAAAAACTCCACTGCTTTAATATGTAATTTTCATTGCGACTTTCATTGCTGCAATTAAGTGGCTAATTGAACAGTTTATAATATGTATGCCTCATTGCTTCTGTGAGAGATTAACTGTGGAAGGCATAGAAAATTAACACACAAAATCTTACCTATGTTAACTTTTACTGAGTAAGGCCTCAGAGATTTTGTTTACCTTTCTGTTTATGGGCAGTGAAACTCCAGATGTTTTAATATGAAACTTCCTTGGATACTGAATTTTAGATACCGACGGTGTAATATGCCATAGGTTAAAAAGCTTCCATGAAACAGAAGTTAGAAAATATATTTGGGGTTTGGGGTCCAATCTGCAGTAAAAAATGTAAAAATACAGTTAAACTTTTGTTTTCCTGGTGATCATTCAAAAATATAGAGAAACAATTTGGGTTTTTTGGATTGCCTTTAATAAAAATAGAGCAAACTGCTACTAGACTCTAAGAATACCTCCAATGAGTTTTTCACAGAATAAACAGAAGTTCTATCTGCTTTTGCTATCTATAATAATACACAGGTTTTTGAGCAGCTTGTATGCCAAAAAAATTGTGAAGTACTGGTAAAATAGAAAGGTGTTTCCAGCTGCTCCTTGGACTGTGCACTGGGTGAATAGAAAGCAGCACAATGTAAGATCAAATCTAACAGAAACTTAGAAAACTGTAGACTTCTAAAATATATCTTCAGTTAACATTTTTTTAATTGATGATTTTATAAAATAATTTTATTATTCTTAAAATAATTTAATAATTACTTTATCATACAGATGGTATCTGTGATAGAACTTGAGCAGAATGAGATGAGAAAGAAGCAATAATGTGAATGTAGGAAAAAACTTTCTTGCTTGTTTTTAAAACTATAAGTTAATATTGTAGAGCAAAAAAAAAAAAGTTGTATTTACAAGATATGTAGGGAAATGTTGCAATTGGCAGCTCTGTTTTCAGGCAGCTGGGGTTGTAAATGTGTTCTCTGCATACCTTCTCACTTTGCTGTCACCCACTGCTAAAAAAAAAAAAGCTAAAAAAAAAAAGCTTATTTGAACAGTGTCTGTTGACTGTATAATACTGCTGCTACAAGGAGCATTTCTTGTGCCGACATTCTTCTCTTGTCTGTTTAAACTGCTACCCTCCCCTATTGCTTTACCTTCTGAAATTTACCTCTTTCCATTTCCTAAGTCCTAATAACTTTCCTTCTGTCATCTGCTTGATGAGAGACCCTGTACATTTTTGGGCTTGTCCTGGTTTTTACTGTTATTCTCTTCTATACTGAAGGGAGACCTTAATGTTAATGATGCACACAAATATTCTTCATGTTTCTAAACCTGAATGCTGACCCAGGGAGGTGTCTGTGTTAGTTCTGATGTGCAAAGCTGTATTCTACAGACATTGCAGAATTTCAGCAGTCCAAGTGGTCATATTTGTAAGTCTATATAGGCATCTTTCCTTTTATTGCACATAAATGTTCGTGAGCTTCCAGTTTGCCAGTGTTGTTCATACTGTATTTGAATTTTTTCTACCTCCATTAACTTTGATGTGTGCTTTTTCCACACAGGATTTAACAATTCTGAGCGCACGTGTGACAAAGAGTTTATAATACGCAGGGCGGCCACAAATCGCGTCCTAAATGTCTTGCGTCACTGGGTCTCCAAGCATTCTCAGGTATTCTTTGCACTCTTCTCCTTTCCAGCTGTAATACATTTATGTTCTCCCTACTCAATATTTTAAGCTGCTGTATAGTGTTGTGGAGGTCAAACAGTCTGAAAAGTCAGTGCTCTAAAGGTGATATGGAGAATTTAGCTTGTAAAAACATGCTGTTAAGCAACTGAGGTTGCTTAAGGATGCTCAGCCAGGCTGGTTAAGCATCTAGCCTCTGCAAATATCCAGTTACAACATTATTCCTGGTAACACTCCATATGAATGCTTTACTGTTATGTGTTGAAATACATAATGGACAGGTTGAACTAATCTTTCAGATTGTCAAGTGTTCATGCTACTGGCAGCTTGGTTCAGTTACTTTGACCATGTTAAGAAAATTGGTGTTTGCATACAGGTATTTATTTATTTGTTGTGAAATATGGGAAGAGTCACCAGACCTTCGTGTTGGTCCCTCTGCAACCATGACAGGACTGTGGGTCTGATATATAGTCATAAAGCTGTATTGGCAGAGGAGGGGGGGGGAAGAAATCTGAGCAGCTAGCAGAATTTCATAGATAGAAATGTCCTTTAAGGTGGAGGTGAGAGGAAGGTTGGAAGGTTGGAGGGAGGATGGTCAAAAGGAGGCAGGGAAGGAAGGAGAGAGGAAAGAACGAAGGGAGTGAGGCAGGAAGGAACCTGGGAAGGAAGGCAGGTAGGAAGGAGGGAGGGAAGGAGGGAAGGAGGGAAGGAGGGAAGGAAGGAAGGAAGGAAGGAAGGAGGGAAGGAGGGAAGGAAGGAAGGAAGGAAGGAAGGAAGGAAGGAAGGAAGGAAGGAAGGAAGGAAGGAAGGAAGGAAGGAAGGAAGGAAGGAAGGAAGGAAGGAAGGAAGGAAGGAAGGAAGGAAGGAAGGAAGGAAGGAAGGAAGGAAGGAAGGAAGGAAGGAAGGAAGGAAGGAAGGAAGGAAGGAAGGAAGGAAGGAAGGAAGGAAGGAAGGAAGGAAGGAAGGAAGGAAGGAAGGAAGGAAGGAAGGAAGGAAGGAAGGAAGGAAGGAAGGAAGGAAGGAAGGAAGGAAGGAAGGAAGGAAGGAAGGAAGGAAGGAAGGAAGGAAGGAAGGAAGGAAGGAAGGAAGGAAGGAAGGAAGGAAGGAAGGAAGGAAGGAAGGAAGGAAGGAAGGAAGGAAGGAAGGAAGGAAGGAAGGAAGGAAGGAAGGAAGGAAGGAAGGAAGGAAGGAAGGAAGGAAGTAAGGAAGGAAGGAAGGAAGGAAGGAAGGAAGGAAGGAAGGAAGGAAGGAAGGAAGGAAGGAAGGAAGGAAGGAAGGAAGGAAGGAAGGAAGGAAGGAAGGAAGGAAGGAAGGAAGGAAGGAAGGAAGGAAGGAAGGAAGGAAGGAAGGAGACAGGAAGAAGTGGAGGAAGGGAGGAAAGGAGAGAAAGAGGGAGGGACAGGGAGAAGGAGGAAGTAAAGAGGAAAGAAAAGAAAAAAGGAGGGTGAGAAAGAGAAAGCACACTGGAAGCAAATAAAAGATTTTTGTATGTGTTGGATAGATGGGAAATTCATGGCAATTATACTGATTTGATACTACATTATAATAGTCAAGAACACTTGGTCTAAAAAGGTTTTATTGCACAGCTAAATGCAGCAATGTCAAATTGTCCTCTGCCAAACACAGTCTCCTTTTTTCCTTGTAATGGGTGTAATTTTCATAGAGGTTAAATTTGCTAGGTAATGAAGTCAGTAAGAAATGCATAAATGTGAAAATTTGTGTTGTGGTTATGAAATTGGTTGTGTTTGAAAAGCTGAACAGTCCAGCAGAGATTAATAAAACCTCTCTTGCTATCGTGGGAATGATTAAACATTTTGGGTTATTGGAAACAGCCAATGTACACCAAGTTTTCTTTGACCTTGTTAACTGAAAATCATTGCATGGCAAAATCTTGAGCTGTAATGGGAACATAAGTCTGCTATTATTATTATTCTGTGTTATGATAGTGTACAGTACATGCTTAACATGTCCCTGCCACTGTTCATATTAAGTAATTGCTAGGAGTTGAGATTCTATACTAATTAAAAGATAGTTAATTAATGTGATTGTGAAAACATTAGGAGTCATCAGAATTTGTCTATATTAAGCAACTGTCTACAACTACTTAGGTGGAACATTATGTTTTAGAGGTGACCCTGTCTGAGATGTGATGATTCTTTATCATAAACACAGCCAAAACCCTCATAAAGATGTCTCTTTTAGGTTTTCCAGGTTTTTTATTTACATATTTTGTTCTTTTAATTCCTTATCCTTCCTCTTTTTCTCCCTATTTTGTCTCTTTTAGTCAGCCACCTGCAAGCCAACAGAGCTCTTTTTTTTTTTTTTTTCCAAAAAACCAATATCAGAATGTTTGCAATTCATTTTAAAATGTAATTGAGATGAACAGTGCAAGACATTCCTGTTGTAAACAATGAAAACACAAATGACGAGGCAGAAAGTCATTGTGAAGATAGTGTTGATGGGAACAAAAAGGGTTTGTGAGGATAAAACTCCCACTGACTCCTGCAGAGATGGAAAAATAGGAAGGGAAAAGAAGCCAAAAGGAGGAGGTCTCTGATTTTCATTATCCTAGTGAGGTCTTGCAGCCTCCTTTTCTTTGCTTAATAATACTTTCTTGTCTTTTATCTAAACACTTTGTGTTACAAAATTGAGCTTTCTGCTTCTGAGGCAAGCAGATCGAAAGGGAGCTTGTCCAAGGAGAAAGCTTTCACATATGCTGATGAAGAAAGAGAAGCTGGCTTCTCTATACTTCCCAGTTTTGAGTGCTAGCTGGGTGCTTGCTACCGTTGGCTTCTTTGAAGATCTCAGCTGGAATGAATTGGCAAACCTTAACTGTCTTACAAATTAGATGGCTGCCAGACAGTGTCAGTGAGTTACGGAGTTGCCACAAGACTTGGGGAGCAGACCATGGGTTGAATTTGAGAGTAGTAGTCATGATCTTGACACCTGTCTTGTTTCAGATGAGAAATAATCTACTAACAGTCATATTCTTGTTCATGCTGACAGAGCTGTCTTGGGTTTTCAACAGAAGGTTTTGCAGACGTAGTTACAAGTAGCACTTGCGGATTATGTAGGACACCTGCATACTGAGAGCTGTCCAAGCAAACACGATTTCAGTTAGTTAAAAATAGTTTTAGTGCATATGAATTGGCCAATTCCATTTTTTACATTGGAATAAAAACAGATAAAAATTCCTTTACATGGGTTTCACTTGGCTCATGTTTAAAGGCATAAAGTAACGAAAAAACGAAAAAAACAGGGAGCAACCTGGTCTAGTAGAAGGTGTTGCTGCCCATGGTAGGGGGTTGGAACTGTATGAGCTTTAAGGTCCCTTCCAACCCAAACCACGCTATGATTCTATGAGTATGATGCCTAGCAAAGTTACAGTGTTTATTGTAGAAATGTGAACAAATTATGCCACACTTGCTGTACGATAGGAAGATGTGCTGTATTTTAACTACATTTTAAATAAATCCCTAGGATCTGTGTCCTCTGCCTTGAAACAGCAAAATAATTTTTGGAGTCCTTTCTGGAATAAATAGACATCATGATACAAATTGTGAACTGAAGAAACAGAGGGGTTTCCCCAGAGAGGCAGAGCAAGGGAACAGTGAGTGAACCTTCCAATATGCCCTTGGTCACTTAGCGAAGAAATCCAGTTTGCACAAACCTATGCTCTTTGCAGAATACAGTTATGCTTTGAGTAGTAATGCACTTAATTGCTGCTGTGCTCTGCCTGGACGTTGCAGAAGTGTAATGGTTTGCTATACCATGACCCTTCAGGGAATGTGATTCACCCCCAGAACAGAAGCCAAGCTTGCAGCCCGTCAAACTAATTAGGAGTACTCTGCATCCACTTCTGCTGAAGCCTGACAGGTCCTTCTTCACTGAGGTCTTTCTGAAAAGCTCTTGAATGTACTACATCCCAGGTCTTCCCGGCAGAGATATCACATTCCTTATCTGCCCTGAACACTTCAATCTGATGATACATAATGGCTAGATACTTACAGGGTTACAAAGTGCTTGGATAAGGAGAGGTTTGTATTGTATGTGCCAAGAGTTACTCAATTGTGCTGTTAACATAGCTTGTACTTTTAACCTGTTTATATTCCATCAGGAGTGACAAGCTAATGCTGATACTATAGAATCAGGACTTGGACTCGTCCCCAAATGATGACTGTCTCTTTGCACTTGAAACTAGCTCCATGACAAAGCTGTTATTCTTTGCTTGAAGAAAGCCAGGCATACTTCAAATCCAGGGATGAATTTTCCTGATAGCCAGTTATAATATCTTTTCTCTCTGCCTTCTTCTTCTGTAAATGTTTTGTGGCCAGTGAATTTATAAACATTTCCCTTAGCACAATTGGATGTGATGGCTAAAGTGTGCTTTTATGCTGGAAAATTAAATATTGTTGTAGGGGACTGCAACACTGGGGTAAATTCAGTTAACTCTGATAGAGTTTGATCTGCTGTGTATGAGATTAAAAACCACTCCACTGATGCCATTGAAATAATTATCTATTTACACTTTGGCAAGACAGCAGGGATATTAAAGTCATAGGGCAAACCCTAGCTATTTAAAAATATCCCAGATTCCTTGTGAACAATCTTCCAGTAATCTCTCTCCCCTCCTGCCCCTTCCTTCCCTCCCTCCAGTGTTTTCTGTAGTTCTTATAACTTATGAACTCAAACATAAATTAGGCTCTCAGATTTTAGCTCCCTTTTATTTGTCTCTGTTATTCAATGTTTCCTTGTACTGTTTAAATGAAGAATGTTTGCTCTCACTTAGGAAGGTTTAAAGAAAGAGGGAAGGAAAATCTTTTGGGGTTTCACTGAGCCCATGGCAAAACTTGAAAATTAAATTCTGTTATATTGTATAAACCACCAACAGCAAATCTACGTATTTCTAGTTGTACCTCACCAGCATAGCTAAATTTTCTTTTTCTTGCTTTCTGCTGCCTCTGCTGCAGTCTCTTTTCTTCTGGCCAGTGACTTCAAATCCATCATTCCCTCTTTCTTTATTTTTTTTTTCCTCTGCTGAAATAAGTTGCTTCTGAAGCATTTCCCATACTGCAGCACAGCTTTCCTAGCTTCTTCTGGCAGCAAAATGTGCTTGTACATATAAAGAGAACATTGCTGTCTAATGCTGTGCATGAGAGAGGTCAACAGGCTGGTTATGAGTCTACTTAAAATGTAATCATGCTGACTTTGGTGCACTGTGGTTACAAAGGAGGCTTTTGCTTTCATAGTGCAGGAGCATGTCAGCAAAATGAATAAGCTTTGTTTATTGCTGCAGACTTCTACTCCTGGAAACTACATTAAGTGCTACTGAACATGGTCCTCACTGGTTTTGATCGGTTGGGAACAGCACACATCTTATTCTTACCCTAGGTGTCTGCAAGGCAGACTTCTTACTTTACTCATTAGCTGTCATTTTTTTCTATATCTGCACATTTACAGTGGCAGGTAGAGAATTTTACCGAACATTTGACCTAACACGGTGGGGATGCTAGAGTTATATACCTTTTCTGTTCATTTATGATACTTTTGTAGCAGAACTAGCAAAGATACCAAACTTCTTTTATGTAGCATTCACCAAGCTTTAGGGTAGACAACGCTAATGTTAATTACACTTGCTGCTTAAGCTTGTGCAGACTCAAGGTTTCTCCTTCAGCTAAATTTTGATAGTTTCATATTCCAAATGTGTTTTTTTTTAAAAATCACTGGAGCAAACAGTGCTCTCATGTACTTCGGCTGCATTCCTCATGCGTTCAGTAACGAAGTATGTCCAATGACCATACCCGAAACAAACAAATAAAAATCTCTGTCTTCTTTTTGCAAACAGGCTAAAACATTTCCTAAGAGAGTAATTTTGGACTATGGCTATAGAAAATGTGTTTTATAAAACAAACATAATGCAGTACCCAGAACTTGCTTGGCTTTGAGGGCTATACCTGATAACCCAGCCACAGCCTGATACTGCACAGCTTCCTGTTCTCCAATATTCTCTAATATGGCCAAACATCACCAAAAAATGTAAGACACATATCTTGGTTTCAAAGTATGAATTAGCTGTTGTCAAGGTGAGAAGACTTGAAGAATGAAAAGAGGATGCTTGTAACAGGACAGAAATGCCCAGGGTGTTGCTGACACGAGCATTTTGAGCTGACATGTCACAGTATGCCTATGATACCACTTTCTTTAATGATCATAGATTCTTCTCCTCCTCTTAAAGCATTTCATCACTTTTCCAAAACAAGCATCACTTTGTGACTTGGGGTGTGCTCTGATGCTCACACATCCCCTCCATTGAAGCTTGTGGTGAGAGGACATGTGTCTTCAGTAGGGGTGGTTCTCCCCAGAGGCATGCATCTCCAGGGATCCTGTCAGTACAGGAGCCTGTCGCAACAGAAGCATTGTAGCTGGCTCTTTGGGAAAATGAAATACACAGCTCTTGCACAGAGGAGCTGAGTATTTCCCATTTTCAGTAATTTCATGGCTTGTGTTCCCATGGAAACAAGCAGAAGCTCACCACAAACATTGTCCTGCTTTAAAGTAGCTGTGGGTTATGAAGGAAGATCTGTGATGCATTAGATGACTAAAGGTTTGGATTTAGTTTACTTATTGAAATGCTAGCTTTGAGCCAAATAGAAGCAATTTTGGAGTCTACTCCAAGACTTGCCAGCAAGTTGTCACCTTAAAGCTTGTAAGTTGTTCTATTCTTTGCTTTTCTTACCAACAGGAGTGATTCTAGGAGACCTTATAATAGTATTCCAGCTTTAAAGGAGCTGACAAAAAACCTGGAGAGGGGCTTTTAACAAGGGCCTGTAGGGACACGACAAGGGGGAATGGTTTTAACCTGACAGAGGGGAGATTGAGATGAGCTCTTAGGCAGAAGTTCTTCCCTGTGAGGGTGCTGAGGCCCTGGCACAGGTTGCCCAGAGAAGCTGTGGCTGCCCCATCCCTGGCAGTGTTCAAGGCCAGGTTGGACAGGGCCTGGAGCAACCTGGTCTAGTGGAAGGTGTCCCTGCCCATGGCAGGGGATTGGAACTGGATGAGCTTTAAGGTCCCTTCCAACACAAACCAGTCTGGGATTCCATGATTCTGTGGTTGTTTTGTCTAGTGCTCTTCAATTGCAGTCCTGTGTGATGCATCAGTCTGCCTCAAAAGTAATTAAAATGCCAAAGTTCTTAAGTGCAGTGCCGGAGAGTACTAGTCTGATTTATCAAGCTTATTAGGTTTAGTATTTCATTGCACACAACAAAAAGCAGACCATTACAAAATGGTATCAGGTAAAAATACCAGAGTGGGAGGCAAGAAAACAGAGAAACCCAGGAAAACAGTGAAAAAAAAAAACCCAACCCAAAATAAATCACAGTATCTAGGTTCAGTAGGCAGTGGTCTCAGTATTGCAATTAAACTTTTTTTCTGCTTTTATAGTCATCACAGGGTAAGAGAGAGCAAGGTGTTTTGTGGGTATTGGTGAGATGGTAGTTCTTACTGCAGAAGACAAAGATTAAGCGATTTCCCCATTTCTACACACAAGATAAAGGTTGGAAAATTAGATAAATTCCAACATTTCAGGGTTCATACCTCCGTGGCCTGTTCATTGCAACAGCTTTCCAATTTTCTTTCAATAGTTTCAAAACCTGCAGGGAAAAAGAAAAAAAAAAAAAGGCAAAATGCACAGAAGTATATGTTTTCAGTTTTTTGATCAATATTGTTCAGACAAAAGGGAGTAAAATTGTTTTCCTTTGTAGGATTTTGAGCTGAACAATGAGCTGAAAATGAATGTGTTAAATTTGCTGGAAGAAGTTTTGAGAGACCCCGACCTTTTGCCACAAGAAAGAAAAGCTACTGCAAATATACTGAGGTAAGTAAGTTTCTAATAATTTAGTGTGTTAACTATAACATGTGAAATAGTTAGGGGATCATGTATCACTGAATACACAGGTTTGGTTTTTCTCCTGAGTATTTAAAGTATTTTATTAGCTATAAAGTGTTTTATTTGCTATAAAACAAAGTGTTTTAAGATTTGGTCATAAAAATACCGTTTTAGAAAATTCTGCTGCAGAACAGCTGGCAGCCACAGGTTCAGTCTGCTAAGCTCATGAAAGGGTGATGATAGCCCAGCATGTTACAATGTCATGACATCCTAACAAGACCATGCTTGCACTCTCCTTTGTGTTGACACTGTGTCCAGAGTTCTTTGGATAGCTTACAGAGAAGAATTCTTGTTAAATTAATGCCATGAAATAGAAGACCTTTAAGCTTCTGCATAACTAGGGCTATTTAAATTAGGGATAGAACACCTTATTTTGTTACTTAGGGTTGATATTACAGAAGTGAGTGTCCAGTCATACCAAAAAGACAAATCTTTATGCATTTCTCAGTGAAAATAATTCCATCTCCTAAGTGCAAATATTTTAGAGACACCAATTTTCATGTAAATTGTTCCACATTACTAAGGAGCAGTAAACATTTAAAGACTAATCAGTTATTAAAATAAGATATGATTCAAAAACACAGATGTATGATGTGCATTGTAGTATATATGTAAGTATTCTGAAGGAAAAAAATTAAGAGTGCAGAAGATGTAATGTGTCTGAACTTTCTAAGATCACTTGATAGGTTTATCCACCAGATACTTAGTTGAAAAACAGTGAGGGGAAATGTATTCAATTGTGGGGGAAAAAGTCAAAGGATAAGAAATAAAGATAAGTTCTTAATAAAAGCACTTAATCTCAATGGGATCCTACCTAATTTTCACTTAAATAAAAATAAACCTCCATTTTAGTAATACTGCATGTGCTGTTATTCCAAGTAAAAATAGTGAGGGTTTTTTTCTTGTATTTTGATGAAAGAAACAGCAAGCAAAAAGGGCAAAAAGGGTTAGTATAATGGGTTTTATTAATATGTGTGACAGCAAAGGTTCTGCCAGCTAGCTCACAGAGGGGGAAAATTACCTTAAGACCTTTAGCTTCTTTAAAAATATGAGAAAATAAACCTGGATTGTCTGTTCCGCAGAGTAATCAATAAATGTATGGAATCTTGGTAATTATGTGTAAACTGTGAGTTGCCCTCATTTGCATCCTTTTACTGCTACCTTCTATGGTAGGTTACTTTTACTGCTATTCTAGGTACTGGTTGCCCTCTCTTCTAGCACTTACTACTATCTGAGCACACTCTATAGTGAATACAGTTAATCAGATATTTACATTAAACAGTTTTTAGAACTTATAAAAAATTCAGACCAAATTTTTGACCACACTGTGAATTTTTGCACTATGTTCTTTTTTTCGGGGGGGGGGGGGGAGGGGGAGGGGAGGGAGAGGAAAATGTAAGAGAACAGAAAAATCTGAAAAAAGTTACATTTTTAAAAACCGAGAAATAGGCAAATAAAAAGCAAAGGGAAGAAGTGAAATGAAACAGTACTCAAAATAAAACTTCAGTAAAAATGAAAAAATGTATGCACAGAAATTCAAGTAAAAGTTAATTTAAAATTAACTCATTTGAAACAATTTATAGAAAAAGATTGCACTTTTAAAAATCTTGTTTCATAGTCATTATCCTGATGGTATTTCTGGAAAGGATTATGGCACTTTACAAGAGGACAAGTAAAGCAGGAATAAAATGATGTGTCCGAGTTATCAGTGGAAGTTTCTGTTGGAAACAGGTAGAGAATGAAGATTTCCTCAGATATAGTCCTGAGCCAAGCCATCTTTCATCAGGGTCTGCAGCTGCATACCCTAATCCTGCCAGAGTTTTTGAACAACATATTTGACTGTAGATTTGGTCAGACAGAGCCCAGAGTCATAAGTATTTGGTTACATCCCACGAGCTAGCACTGGGAAAACCACTGGCGGCTCTACATAAAGGACTAGACCTTTTGACCGAATGCAGCATGGATGTCCCACTTCCTTCAAAATTAGGCATGAAATTTAAGCCTCGACTAACATTGCTTACCAAAAACCCTTTATTGCTTTTCAAGACTGGCAATGCTGCTAACATACCTGCAGGCGGACAGCTTTTTTGTCAAATATTTCAATACTATTTCAGTAATATTCAACTGAAATATTCAATAATATTTCAACTATATTCACTACTATTTCTATGTTATTTCAACACTAACTCCAATAAGCATCGATGACATAGTATTGCTGTCCAAAGGGTTCAAAAACCATCTCTGTTCCATTTTCAATAGCACCATGTTTCAGTAGCAGCTAAAATTACTCCTGTGTCCTATCCATATGTTTATTATATATGCAAACTGCCCATAAACTTTCAAGTAAGAGTTATTGCATAAATAAACTTTTAGATAAAAGCTATTGCATAAATAACACTTTCATAATTTAAGCTGTTGTTAAACTGCAGTCATCAGGACATAGTCTCCAAATTCAGACTATTGTCATATAAATCAAACTGTCTTATGGTGAGCGAAACTGTAATCTGAAGGCTTGGACTCACTCAACAGGAAGCAGTTATTTGCCAGGCATGTCAAATTTGTTAACAGCTGGTAAAGAAATTAATTATCCATGAGTAGGAACTGCCTCAGTGACCTTGTGAGAAAGAGTTTATTGGAGCAATTCTGGTTTTGGACAAAAAAATCATTCAGCTGGGGTCAAATATACAAACGTACAACTTGCCTTTTCACTGAAAGGAGTAGTTCTGCTTTCTAAATCAACTCAGGAAAACAGGTTGTCTGGTAATTAGTCAAGCTTTCCAAACTTAAAAAAAACACTGTAGTTACTTCCAGAGATATACACTCTGAACAATGCTATATAAGTAACTAAGAAGTGCAAACTGTAGGATTTAAGGAATAATCTGCAGTTGAATGTAATTGTGTGAAACTTTGTATCTGTGGCAGTGACACAGGTGCATATCCCTTTATTATTCCACAAGCCTTCATTTTTATTGCACATTATTGAAATATGAAAATTAACGAGCTTTAAAAAATACTGATCAAGTTGCTAGTCTTGGACTTGCTGTCCCATGGAGACTGTAAACACAAACTTTCTCAGGAATCATCTCAGATAATGGGCATCAAGCAGGAGTCCCTCTGGTCCTCCAGTTTCTCAGCTTATTAGTGAATTCAGAGGTGGAACCATCTCCAGGCTGCTCTTTGAAATCTTAATTTTTTAGTAACCCAAAATATAAAACTGAGTACTAGTTTTTATCAGGAGGGTTTAGGTTTTCTGGCAGGTTGAAAAGGTTCTTGCTCAATTCTGGAACTGATTTCATTAAGAATAAGAAACATACAGAAGCAAAAGAGACAACATTTGCATGTGTACATCCTGTCTGACAATACAGTTTTATGAATCCAGTTAGCAACCAGGTTTCTGTTGCCAGAAGAGCGAAGTTTTTTCTATAGTTGTGCTAAGAACGAAGATACTGCTCATGTGCAAAAAGAAGACATGGTGACATGGAAATGGTTCTTTCCCTGCAATTTTTGCCAGATGCCTGCCATGGTGCCATGGCTTATTGTAGAAGAAGGTCAAAACAAGCACTGGACACGCTTTTCCCTAAGTTGGGAGAGTTCTGTTATTTGTTCCTGAATCTTGTAGGAGGGACAACCAAAGCGATGTTCCTCTTGACCACGAACTGCCAAGCTTGATGCAGACGTTCTCATACTGTATGAAGACATGAAGAGGCACCATGTTCTACACCGTTATATCTCTCATGTAATTGTTTTCTTTATTCTGCATCAGATTACAGATTTTCTGTTGTTTATCAACATGGCAGATTACAGTCCATGTTCTGAATGTTAAGACAAGGCCTGTAATGGAATAAAATAATTTCTTGTTCCTTGAACCACCCATAGGTTATAACGACAGTAAGGGGAAAGAGGTTTCTTCTCTACATCGTCTTAGAAAAAGTTCTTTGGTGGCTAACTGAAGCACCAAAGCATGAGACAAACTGTAGGCATCTAATGAAACACTTCTTCCAAGGTAACTGCCTATCATGAAGGAGATTCTGTCCACCCGAATTGTCTCAAGTTAGGGCTCTTGATTATTCCTCCAGAGATCATAGAAAACACCTTTCTTTCTCAGACAAAACACAGGCATTGACTTGCAGAGGATGTGAGTCCCACCCTGGATGTCCTAAAGGAATCTAGAATCTTGTTACAGAAATGTGTAAAGGTGCACCAGATACTTTGTTCCTCTCTTGGTTCATGTACCAATATTTGGTTTGGAGAAATGCTGCTCAGTCCATCATCACCACATACCCACCTCCTTGGAAATACACTGTTTGGTTTTCTTCTAGATGGAGGGCTTCTATCTAATACTACTTAAAGAAAAAATGTAAGTTACCCACTTAAAACTGAAGGGCTTTTTTACTTTTAGTAGAAATCAACTTGAATATTTTTGAAAGCATGTTTTCTACATGAAAGCACAGATTTGTTGTAACTGGAAGCTTTGATGATTTAAAAGGCTTTGAGATTTAAAAGGCCTTGGCATATTGAAAAATGCAGCCTTATCAGAATTCTGGTTTGCGAGTCAACCCTCAGTCTTGGCTTTCCTGCATTTCAGTTTTCACAGTCTACTCTCGACTCTGAAAAGTAGAGGAATTCAGAATGAGGTCAGGAAAAGCATTTCTTATCTTAAATTCAATGTTCAAACACTTGCAAAAGAAAGTTTGTGCTTTTTGAGCCTATGTATGGATATATTCCATGGACTGTGTCCTTGAAAGATATTGGGTATAAATGTCTCTTTACAGAGTGTATGGGTCCATATATGCATATAAATTTCTTGGGAAATCAGTTCCTTTGTTAGCAGAGATTAGAGAAGGAGAAAACGTTGATTTGTATTATGGAGATTATATGGTCAGCTGTGGGAAAGACTGTATAAAATGTGAATGGCAAGAAAAGTGTTTATAAGAGATAACGAGTTGCTTCATGCCTTCTTGAATCATCAGCAGAACAGATAGTATTTCTTGCATGATGAGATTCTTGTTGAATGGACTGACAGGATTTTTCTGCAGGGTAAAAAAAGCTTCTTTTATTAAATATCCACTCTGAAAGCTAGGCAAACCTACTGAAGTATATTTTGCTTGAGATTTTACCAGTCTTATTTACAAATTCCTGAAATCTAGCTAAAATTTCATTGATGATGAAACAGGAAGGTGTAAAGTTCAGACTATACAGCAGTGAATAACTAATAAATACTCTTACCTGGAGGGGGAAAAAAATGGTGGTTCAAGAAACAGTTCTTCCTTTTTCTCCCTCAGAATAAATGTAAATGAAATCCAGAGATATGCAGATGTCAGAATGAATATGCAGATGAATGACCAGTTTTCTGCCTTGTATGACCTCACTAGACAATACATTTCAGGCTGTATATCTTACATCAGCTTTTAAAATACTCTTAAAATGTTTTATGTAATGTAAAGGAATGAGGAGACAGATGTCAATATTTTCCACTAGAAAATTATTTTAATATTTGGACTGATCAGACATGACCAGTTTAAGTGAGACAGAGGTCTAGTCTTAGCTGCTAACTCTAAGAATTAGAAACTTATTTCATATGTATTTACTTCCTTAATTTGTAAGGGTAATAATGGAAGTGTCACAGTATCACAGTATCACATCCTGCCTGACAGGGATGCTGTTAAACAGTCCAGCAGAATCTTTGCTTACCCTTGCTTTCTCTCATAACTTTCTTCACTTGTATTACTGAACACAAACCATGTATTTGCTACAAGTAAAATCTGCTAGTGGATTGTTGTCTATATCCACACTCACAGCTCTTTGTGTGGGCCACTGAATAGGACAGTGTCGTGCCAATAAGAAAGAACACTTCCCAGTGAATCACTCTTATATGCATGCCCGTGTTGCTGTCTTTTCTTCACTTCTCAAATGTTGGGTTCTTTTAAACATTTCCCCAAAATACCATTTAGCACAGTAGTTTAAAAATCAGATAAAAGGCTTGAGATGTAATTCTTCACCTTTAGGTTTCCTCGGTTTATTCTGAATAGACGGCTTCTAATCACGTTATTCTCACTGTGTTGTGTTTTTGCGTTGCCAGTCCAGTTCTTGAAAAGGAAGTTTTACTTTGTCCACCAAACTTCTTTGCACTAAAGCCAAAGTGGGATAGATTTAGAAACCTTATCACTGTAATCAGCATGTACATACAGTAGCTATTGTCATTGACCATTCTATAGTATATGGTGTTCTTAGCTCAGAGATTTTAAGCCTTTATGGCTATCTTTTTACCTTACATGATTCTAATGTCATTGAAGGTAAAACTACTACTTTTACTTATAATGAGACGTGAGATTTTAGGTACCAGATTTTTATTTTTTTCTTTCAACCTCTTCAGCTGCAGTGTTAGGATTTATTTTAGATAAACATGCTTGCCTATTTGGTTTTCTCAGAACCACAGGCAATTTTATTTGTGTTCTTTTCTACTTAAGAGTGTTGTGCTACTTAATTTTTCAGGACTCTTTCACAAGATGATCAAGATGATACCCACTTAAAAATAGATAATATCATTCAGATGGTAAGTTCATTTTGAAATTTAAACATTAAATTAAATCCTGCTATAGAAATGTTGCGTGATTAAGTCAATAAAATGTAGCACAACTGGAAGTTCAAAGCTGTGGACAGAAATACTGTTGTTTTATATCAGGAATGTACAGTTCAGTTTTGAGATATTCAGAATAACATAGATGAACAGGTTAAAACTTTAGGATTTGGATTTAAATCAAATGATGGAATGACGAGAAAAAAAAATACTTGCAAAGTGATTATGTGAAAATGAATGCAGAATGCACAGACTCTAATTAACCTATATAGATACTCATGAATTGGTAGGTGTCTTTTTCTATGAGTTTCCAGTCTGAATATTTACCCTTATGTTCTTAGCATTTTTTCTTAGTTCTTATTTCTTTGTAGCAAGGAATTTAATTACAACTCTGTTGAAAGTTCATGTGAAGTTCTTAATACCCTGTGTTTTGAAATGTCTTTTGATGCAAAATGAGGTCATTAAGTGTTCTCCTTATTTTTGCAGTCAGATTGCCCAAAACCAGAGTGCTTTGAGACTTTGTCAGCCATGGAGCTTGCAGAGCAAATAACTCTTTTAGATCATATAGTTTTCCGAAGCATACCCTATGAGTAAGTGTTCTCCTACAAGTAACTGAAGTGAGTATGGTGGATGAGTTACTGACTGGCAGTGTTAGGCACTACACTGATACATGCTATGGGCAAAAAGATTTGCATACTTAACAGATAATGTACTTTGGCTGTTTGTGTCATTGCCTCTGGTTCCATATAGTTTGACCATGTCTTGAAAGACTGAGTTCTTTGCTAAGGAAAAAAACAACCCTCTGGTCTAAGGCTCTGGGCTAGTGAAGGGTGAACATAGTGTGGAAGGGATGAATTCTTACATACAGCAGTTTAACATGGATATAACCACATCCACTGACAAGAACAACATCAGTAGGGTCACAGTGCGGAAAATTAGAATGGGGGGATGGGGAAGGGGATCAAAAGAAAAATAGAGCTTCTTTATAATATTTACTGCTTTAGACAGCATTAAAAGTGATGGAATTGGTTTAAAGCTATGATGTTACTAGCTTCTAACAAAATGAGATATACTTAAAATCCACTTAGGCTATCATTGCAGACAGAGACTCTGTACTGTGTTTATTAAGTGCATTTTTGTTTGTTTTTTTTCTCTCTCCTAAATATCTAGAGAGTTTCTTGGGCAGGGCTGGATGAAAATGGATAAAAATGAGAGAACGCCCTATATTATGAAAACAAGTCAACATTTTAATGATGTAAGTACTTTTAAATATACATTGCATTCTAGGACCCCTGTTAACACTGTCTATGACCTCTGGAACAAAAATACTTTTTTTTTTATTTTTACAATGTGGTATAACTTCTCATCTAGTAATGACTATTACAGTCTTTTTGTGATTAACCTTTTAAATCAAAGCACACAAAGATTCTTGTTTTCAAGAATTGGTATTCAGTGTTTCAATAGCAATTTAATAGAGTGTTTTAAAGGTACTGCTATGCCCTTTTGCTTACAGAAGAAACTAATTTTCTCCAGAATGTGAAAATATAGCACTGATTCTATTTAATGAATGCCCTTTGTATCCCCAACCACATCTTTGCTCATTTACCATTTTCTGTGAATTTTACTGAGAGACTTCCCAATCAGTTTTGCTACTGTTGGCTTGGAGATACCCCCCTTTGCATATCTTACCCTTTCATATCTTTATTCTCCCACACTTCCGTACAACACTGTTCTCAATACATTTCCTCTGTTTTTATTAAGAGCCATTAGTTCCATTGTACATTAGATTTTTCTGCCTTGTTGGTTAAACAATTATATGTTGAAAGGGATAATATATGTAAATGTCCTAAATTTATTCTTCTTTGTTTGGCCAGATGAGTAACCTTGTTGCCTCCCAAATCATGAATTATGCTGATGTTAGCTCCCGTGCTAACTCAATTGAAAAGTGGGTAGCAGTAGCTGATATTTGTCGATGTATGCACAATTACAATGGCGTGTTAGAAATCACCTCAGCCTTGAACAGAAGTGCAATCTACAGACTTAAGAAAACTTGGGGTAAAGTATCCAAACAGGTAAGAAAAACAGGATTACAAGAAGGGTTTCTGGATTTCACTGGTCAGCATGTTGCTCAGAGAATGTGTTGAGCTAGTATTCCTCTCATAATATTTCCACTTTTACATTATTCTATTTGCTTGAAGCACCAAGTGGTCTTGTTATTTTACATCAAGGTCTTTTGTATTTCATTTATCTTTTTTTTTTTTTAATATCATCAAATATCTGTGGGAACAAACAGATTTCAATGTAATTAGCAGGTGCCTAAGACTATTACTTGGGCCTGAACTAATGAAAACTAATGTAGATGGTTATTAGCTATAGCTAAAGTCAGATCAGGTGCCTAAAATAGTAGTCAATAGTAGCTCTGTTTTAAATGGTTTAAATAAATCTGTTGAATTACTTAAAACTCAGCTTTCTGCTATTAAAAATAAAAAAAGACAAAAGTGAATATTTTAGTATGATGGAATAACAGAACAAGGAAGTCAGTAGGACAGAGCAAGTCACTTGTAAATCAGGTAGTATTTGGACACAGAGTTTACTCCAGCTAATGGGAATATTTCAAGTTGCCCATTTTAGATCTGGCTAATTGACATGTAAAAGGTGGGCTTTTTTTGTTGCATTTCCTCCTCTGTGTTTTTGCTCTGTCTTCAGCTTTTGCAAAACACTAAGGCAGCCCAAGGAATGAAATCCATTTAAAATACATTCTGAATGTCCTGCCTTCTCCAGTCAGCTTTTTCTCAGATGTTTTATAGCTGATGATATTTCCTTTGTTAACAAAAATATTAGAAGTCCTTTCAATACAAAATGTTATGTAAGAGTTTACCTTGAAAAAGTTTTATGTTTAGAATTTGTTCGATTTTTAAACTTCTCAAGTATGAAGAAGAAGAATTAAAAAAAGACAGATTTATGTTGTTGCACAATTCTTCAGTACTCATTGGAAATGTAATCTGATTGTTTCATCAGCCTGCTATTTAGAAAAAAAAGAAAGTGTCTGTTTCAGCCTACAGCTTTGTCCTAACTCGAAATTTAGTTTGAAAACCAATAAATTTCTCATGATTCTGTATATTATTTCAAGCATAAATTGACTGAAAATGCAAATTTGTTTCACTTATGAAGTGACCAGGCTATGATGATGCCCACTGAAAGTAACTGGTGTAAGACAGTAATATATTTTCAAATACATATTCAGCTTTTATCAGAAACTCGGAGTCAAAACCATCTTAGTGCAAGCTGCAAGACAGAAAACATCCTTTACTGTCATTAATTTCAGCAAATGCAGCTGAGGATCCTTGGCAGCATATTAAGATCAAGTCCCTAATATTCTTGTATACACAGTAAACTGAATTGCTGACCATTAATTTATGAACTTGTGTTTTTCCTGAATTTCCAGGCTAATAATATCAGCATAGACACGTGTTCCGTGGATCACTCAAAGGAAAAATCTTTAATATTGCATAACCTCAATTTTCAGAAATATGCTGGGAACTACAGCAAAGCTAAATTTATAACACCCATCTTACTACTTTTGAAAATGGGGTCAAATCCTAAGTGAATTACAGCTTTTCTAAAATCTAATCGCAGTCATTAATGTGCAACAGCAATGACATCTGTAATCTATTTTCTTTCTAGACAAAAGCTCTCATGGACAAGCTTCAGAAGACTGTATCATCTGAAGGAAGGTTTAAAAACCTTAGAGAAATGCTCAAAAAGTATGCTTCACTACAGTATACAATTGTGGTTTGTTATAAGCAGTGGATAGTACATGTTAAAGATTAACTAGCTTTGATTAATCTTTAATAATTAATATAATATTGGATAATATTTTTACCTAGTTAACTTCTGAAATTCTAATTTTATTCTATTTGGCATTATTGTAGATAAATATAGTATCTCCAGAGAATTCCTGAAGCAAATTAAACTGTTATTCTGTGTGAATGTTGTTCCCTGTTGGGGTTTTTCTTCCACTGATAAACTTTTTCAATATGTGTGAAGCCATATTTAAAAACAGGGTTCCAAAGAGTCCGTGTTCAAGACAAGAAGTTTAAGATTTAGGAATACCCCTGAGTCAGACCAAAGATCTGTTCACCCCTTTATCTTGCTTCTGACTGTGGACAGTAGCTGATAAGAGGAACATAACAATAAGACCAATGCACAACAGTATTTCCTCTTTTATAGCCACCCAGCTCCCTGGAAAAGAGTCTGTTTTTTTTATTCAGTAGTCCTTGGGTATTATTTTCTTTAATATATTTGCCAGATTGCACTTGACCATATGTAACTTTGGTACCCAAAATATCCTGTGGCAAGGGCTCAACCCCAGCAGCATGCATAGAAAACTTGTATTTTTGCAAGTTTCACAATTAGAAGCAGGCTTTTTAGTACTGAGTGGTACCACTACTTTAAATGATCTTGAGAGAAGCAAAGAATTGATCTACTAGAATAATTACTGGAATGTTTAAAGATACATATATTTTTGGGCAGCTAATGACTTTTTTTAAATTTTTTTTAGTAAAACGAAGAGGTATTTTTACAAACCTTTCAGTTAATACATTGCTTGCCTCTGTACAACAACACTTATAATCTAAAACATAACCAGAGTGAAGTGCACTGCTAAGCATTGTTTGATATGCTTTAGTGCGAGGTGTCCCTGTCCATGGCAGGGGGGTTGGAACTTGATGATCTCAAGGTCCTTTCCAACCCTAACTATTCTGTGATTCTATGATTCTAAGTTAACAGTAGAGCAATCACTCCGCATTCTTCTTAAGGCAGAGCTTCAGAAATCCTTTTTCTACTATTTCTGCTGAGACAAGTCATTGAACATGGAGCTGTTATTACTGCATTAGGAAAGAAACAATCATTATCCCATTCCTCCTGTTCCTCCAATAAAACTGCTATTCTCTATGTTCGCTGTTCCTCGTTTTCCAGATCATCTTTGATACCCCTCTATCTTTCTCTTTGTTCTATGTGTCCACTGTTGAGAAAGCCTGAATAGACTTCGACAGTATGGTATATACATATGTATACAGATGCATACACATGTATATACATGCATATATGCATACATATGCATATGTATAAACATGTATATATATGCATATATAAAAATTTATATATATGTACATCTTCATATATTTATGGACATGCTCAACACACACGTACATACATGTACTCTTACTGTTCTAGGATGCTTACACTATTGCAGAACATCAATCGCTCAGAAGCATGTCCACATGCATTTTTAGCATGTCTGTGGGAGCTATTTCTGAGATTGTGTGTCAGTCAGGATTGAAATATACTTGAGGGTGTTCTCTCATTCCAGAGGTTACCTGTCCTTCCTCTCACTCCAACATGGTTCTACCTTTTACTGAAGGTCATCTGCCGCTAATACTAGATATTGGACAGAATACATACAATTTTTCACAGGCAGAGCAAGTACAATTCATGAAATCAAGGAAGGTGTCTTAGAAATTAATGTAACCCATTGATCACAAATACGTTCAGTAATAAAGAGTTTGTGTGAGTTATAAAATTATACTTTGCAAATTTAGCTACAGGTTAATATGTTGATTTGTTGTTTCACAGTTGTAACCCACCTGCTGTTCCCTACCTTGGAATGTACCTAACAGACCTGGCATTTATCGAAGAAGGAACACCAAACTTCACTGAAGAAGGCCTTGTAAATTTTTCCAAAATGAGAATGGTAATTTTTGATTCCTTGTACGCTTTCCCAACATGTGTTCATTTTTATGAGTTAATTATTGATTTAATAATAACTCTGGAATTTAACTTCTAAGACAAACAAGTATATTGGAATCATGCAGCTATTCAAAAGCAATTACTTGACCCAGTCTTCTGTCACCATCTTCTGGTGGCTTAGCTGAAGTCAAAATGCAGTGGTACTTATTCAGATATATGTATTCTTTTGAAAGATCTCACACATTATCAGGGAAATACGCCAGTTCCAGCAGACGCCCTACCGCATAGAGCATCAGCAGAAGGTAAGGCTCTTCTTAAGCACTGTTACCTCCTGAGGAAATGAAAGCTATGGCAACAATTAGTTGTAAGATACAGCTGTGGTTGAAAGCTAAAGTCAATGTATTCTGCTCCTGCACACTGGAAAGACATACAGAAATATGGAAGGGTACTCTGGGGTTGTAATACTCTCACCCTGCCAGAAATTCTTTGTTTCATACTGTATATAGAAACAACTTTCTCCTTCTCTGGAAACTCTGTCAGGATTGCAGCCTTCGTGGTTCTGGGGTATGAGGCAGTGTTTTCAAAGGGAAATGTGTTCTGCCTGCCCAGTTGGAATCTTAATTCCCACGGAATCTCAGAATCTGTTGATGCTGTGTGCATCCTCCAATTCTTTTCCCTTTGTCCCTTTTGGGAATGAGGAAAACTTGCCCAAAGCTAGTCTGTGCCTTCAGAGATTTCATCTCAGGCTCCAGAAGAGCAACATGGGCTCTAGGTAACCTGGCTAAGGATTTGCCCATTTCTAGGAACCTCTGCTTAATTCATAGAATGCTGCTGGTGCAGATTTGTGTTGTGTTTCTCAAGAAGACAGTATGGGGGGATGTCATGATCTGAAATGGGCTGAAGGGGAAAAAGAAAGCAGAAAAGTTTTGTGGAAGTTACAGAGTCTGTTCATCTGTGTTTTCTCTCCACGCCAGGTCACTCAGTATTTACTTGACAAGACACTCATCATAGACGAAGACACCCTGTATGAGCTTTCCCTGAAGATTGAACCCAGACTCCCTGCCTGAAGAGCCAGCTTGCCTCAGATTCTGCAGAAAGCTTTAGTACAATGAACAAAATCGTGTATGTCATGTCCTAAAGACAACAAGGGAAATACTGAGAAGAATACAAGCTCTCTTTCCCAATAAGAGGTACAGAACCTCACAGCATTTCCCTCTCAGGCAACGAAAATGAGCACTGAGGTGGAAGACAAAGATACTTCCTACGTGGATTAATGGATTGCTGCTTCGCGAAGATAATGTTTTGCAGCAGGGACTATGCATTTAATGGAAAATAGGAGACTTCCCTGTCAATGGGTACTAATTGTAGCCATCTTACGTGACTAATCAATGGTACATATATAAAGGGTAGTGATATACTCAGGTATATTAAGATAAATGAGAAAAATGAGATAGCTGTGATATGATCTGGGTTGATTGCTGTGTGTTCACTGAGGCAGTTGTGGTAGTGTTGTCCTCCTATAGTGCTAACTTTATTGAAAAAACGGGATCTTAACAGTCATCTGCTCTCTTGGAGTGACATTAAAACGGCATCTATTATCTTCAGATCTGCAGCTATTCAAAACACCTGCTGTACATTTAATGATACCCTTTATAAAATGTTATCTTCTTTAAATACCCTGACAGCCTTTTCTAAGGAGACTGATTTACAAATGAATTGTAAATAGCTTTTTTCATTAATACAGAATGAAAGTATTTACAGCATGAAAAGCAAATGGACTAGCTGAATGACTGTAAGTAGCTGCCAGCCCTGCAAGCTTCAGCTGGGAAATGCAAGGTTAGGAGCTCTATCTGAGACTCAAGAAATCCAGGGATACAGCAAACGGAATGGTTGGTCAGGTTGCACACAGCCCTGGAAAAGGCACTTTATTTTTCTGCACCTCCTGCAGCTTCTTTGACAAGTCAGGCTACAGAGCACTTTCTGGACACACAGTGGCGAGAAATACATGTCTGGTCTGGCTATGGGTAGTGATCAGCTGTGAACACTATGAGTTGGAGTGATAGTTTTGTTTCAAGTGGAATCAGTGGTTTGAAAATGTCTAGTTTTTTTGTTCAGCCACTCAGCACTGACTTAGCTCTAAAATTGTTAACGTTGGTGGCAAGCTTCGAATTCCAGCAAACAATCTGAGCTAGGAACTATTATTTGCATATGGGCATACGTTTAAGAAAATGTGCTGTTTGTAAATGTTTTCAAAGGCTATGCTTTTGTGACATACCATGTAAATAGATGTCATTTCTACAGCTAGTTGGTACTTGCTAAATTTTCCTGATAAAAAGTAGCCTGTTGTAGCTGCATGAAAAGTGAGCTCAAATGCATGCTGTAAAGCGCATCATAGTGTAAAACACACGTAGTACTGATGAAAAAAAAATTGGCTGGAAAAGTGTCCTTACTTTTCCAATTCTATTCAGCCAGTTGAAGAAAGAGGGCTATATCATTGTATACCTCCCTTAAATGCTCTCAGGGAGATAGGTGTTTAAAATAAATTGTGACCTAGGCCTATTTGATCTGACATTTCTTACCACAGTCATGATGATTCTTAACACTGGCAAGGAAAAACGGATCTGCCTGGCTTGTGGGTTTTATCTTTATTTGCACTTTAATTGTATTGCTGGCCCAGCCCAGAGCTGCACAATAAATTCCATTTGTTCTGTCTGAGTGTAACTGCTAGCATTTATAAACATACCTTAGCCACTGTAAATTTCATTAGGGTGATTCACCACAAGGATGATCCCATTGTAAATAACTGCATAAAGAAGCATTGCAAATACTGGAAAATTCCTTGATTAGAACAGCAGACAGCAACACAAAAGGAAATTCCAGAAACATTTAAGTAATTCTAATGACTGCTGCAGAAATGAATGGAAAATTATACTTACAGAAGCTGTATTGTCAAAAAATATGCTTGTTAGTTTCACTAATGACTGACAAGAAGCTGATTGCAACTCAGTGCATGGTATGGAGAAGAAAAAAAAAAAGCAGCATAGTTTATTTGGACCACAAAACCAATTTACTGTGTGTTTTCTGTACAAAAGCAGCTACCATCCAGTAGTTTCACAAAAAACTTCGAAGTAATGAAGAATCAATGGGAAATGTGGTTCAAAAAGTGATTTTTTGACTTTGTTTTATTGTTCCTGTGTTAAAAAAAAACCAAAAATGTGTAACAACTGTCAATGCCAGTTGGTATCTCTGTTGTGTGCTATTAACTGCTGATTTATCTGCCTGTACCCTATTTTACTGAACTTCCTTGATGTTCTTACTGTTACAGGGTACAATTCTTCACTTAACTCTTTTCACACTTTGTTGTTTTGTGCTTTATTATATGTGTACTGGTTCTTCAGTGTTTCAAAGTATACAGTGCATTTTAACGCTTGCAATATGCAGGGGTAGTGCTGTGCTCGTGCTATGGTGTTCCAAATGGGCAGAGAGGAAGACAAAGGATTAGACATGGGTTTTTTAAAAGGTGCTGAGCATCCATATCTTAAAATCAGTAGGCAAGGTGGTAGTTCAGCCCCTCTGGAAAAGCATATACTATTTTTATGGCATATACTATTTAAATGCCAAAGGTTACTCTCTTGGGTCAGTGGCATGATTTAGGTTAGAATCACCAGAGTAACTAGATACTTGGTTTGTGTTCAGGGCAACAACAAAAAAAAAGCAACTAGCAACAAATAAAGTGTATGGTCACAAAACATTAAAAAGTGATGTTTGATTTGCTGAGAGCTAATATTAATCTTTCTGGTTGAGGATACAATGCATTTGTTAAAATACAGGAGGTTACTGCTCAAAGAAGTAAGCACATGTCTTGTTATGTACAACCCCATCCAGTGTTGCAAACTCAATCAAAGCTGGAAGTGGCTCTTCTGCCAAAGTCCTGCACACCGAGTGTAGGGCAGTGTGTCTGTCCCACAGCTGGGTTGAGCACTTCACATGTAAGTGGCCCGAGTGCCTCTGCTACAGTACTGTTGCAGTGTTTGGGCTATGGCAATAGTAGGCAGCAGCAACCTGCTTTATGTGAAGCTTTGCCCAGTACATTTCTATACCCAGCTAGTGCAGCCATCTCCCTGTACAGCACACAGGGATTGTGGAGCTCCTTGCTACCCACTTCTCTGTGCCACTCCACCACAGCCACATAATACATACAGAAATCCTGGACATAAAACACCCACTGTTTGCTTCTGGTGTTCTATGAAGGATGTCTCCAAGTGAGCACTTTGTCGTCTGGATCTTGCTGTCTTTTAGGATCTTCTCCACTAGCTTTTATGCTGTGGAAGCAGAGCAGACTTGCTTTTCTGCAACTGGAGCTGAAAAAGCCCAGCTGATTCAGGATTCATAAGAAAGAGAAGGGCTGAAGCACCTCTCTACTTGCCTTTCTTAGCTCCTCAGCCCTGCTGTGTCTGTCAGATGCAACAGCAGTTCTCACACTGGAGGGGCTGCTCCCTTCATCACTCTCTGGCCAAAAATGCCTCAGGGTGTACAGGCTGGCTAGCTGCAATGGGGATAACATATTTCACCCACTGGTTCAGCAGTGGGCACGCTCATCAGCCAAGTATGAAGGGAGTTTTGTAGTATTTTTTATGGCATAAAGTAGCAGCCTGGATTCAGCCCGTAGTTATCTGGGAATCTGGGCAGCAGCGCAGACATGTCCCCTTCCAGGTGACAGAGAGCACTTGTCACACACTGATACAGGGTTAAAGTTGCCTTCACCCCAGCCTTCATTTTACCCCATCCCTGTCCTCCCTCCACTGAATTCACCAGTATTGTTAGTGGAATGAGCCCATGATTAGGCATCATGCGTACAAAAACATAGATGATCTATTGAATTTACACTGGCAGTAAGTGTGTATATATTCTGTCCCTTTCCTACGGCTAGTCCTGTAACACACAAATACATAGTTTAATAGTGAGACATGATACTGGGACTGATTACCCTTATTTTAAAGTAAAGGAAAAGGTATCTGTCCTCCTCCTGCTTTCCTAGTTCTTAATACTGATTGTTGTTCTGTAGGAACTTAACTATTTATTAATTTTAACCATGTTGTTTTTTATTTCAGCACATGTTCATTACCCCAAATTTTCCTCCACAATCACCATTTAAAGGGTTTTACAAATCTTTACATTGATTTATTTGTATCAGTATTCAGTTGTTCATCCTTTCATGATTACCAGCAACATTAAACTTAGATACATGATTTAAAAGTCTCACTGATAGAGACATTTTTACCCACTCATAATTGTTATTCATTAAGAGCAAAATTCTCCAGACCTCATTCTGATAATACCTTATGCTTCACCGAGAGCTTTTCATAAGTATTTGGGGATCTGGCTCTCAGCTATTTGCCTGTTACTGTTTTTGCCTCCAAAGGTCAAATGTCTCCATGTAGGATGCTCTGTGTCCAAGATGCTGCTCAAGTATGGTTGTTTCGTTGTACCTTTACTTTATAAAAAGTCTCTGACGTTTTGTTATTTAGGAGAATAGATGTATGTTTATTTGATAGATGTACCTATAGCTAACATGTTCCTTAGTGCACAATCCAGGTATTTTTGCATGTCTTATAACTTATCTTTTGACCTGAGGTTATTGCTTTGTATTGTTAGTAAGGCATATCAGGCAGGGTGTTAATGCCAATATGCTAATTAAACTTTTTTTTCCCCTGAGCTTTGAGAGTCCTTACTGGTATCTGTTTATTTTTTTATTTCCCAGTGGTGAATAATTAAACCTACACCTGAATTACTGAGTCTTTTAGAGAAACATGGGATGGGAAGGGACAATCCATTAGCAAGAAAGGCAAAAAGCAGCGAAAATTCTGGGTCTCTACTGGAAAAAAAATGGTTTGAGTTACTGCATTTTTTTCTTCTTTCACTCATGCTGCATTGCAGCTGTGGTGGCCGTCATTGGGAATAATGCTGGTTTTAACTTGGAACAGAGAATGAAGCCTACTTCATACACAACTAGAAATGCTGATCCTCTGTGAATTGTACAGCACAAATATCTAAACAAGACTTAACAGATAAACTCAACCAGCTGCACAACTCATTCTTCTTCAGCTGAGGAAAGCCTCTCCCCTTCCATACTTCTATTCCTTTTATAGGAAGGTACACATTTAAATATCATTTCAGAAGGTGTTTAAGGAATTCTCATTTCAATAGAATATATTTATTATTTTTTTTTAGGCAAAAGGCAACATATATACGTAAGTAGGGAATAAATAACATTGTCCCTAAATTCTTTATCTCCTTGTCTTGGATTTGGACTTCTGCCTAAATGTCCCTATCCTTCTTTTGTCAGGAGTCCTTCCCTAAAGAAATGGTACTACTGTATTTTATACCCAAGTCAACGCAGAAAATATTTAAGGTTTGTAAGTATGGCATATCCCTCTATTTTCAATAGGAAAACAAGTCATATGGAGATAAAATTACTTGCAAATTGAAGGAAAATAGAATAGAGATCAAGACTGCAAAGCCAGATATCCAGCTTCTGTTATATGCTTTAATCACTGTCTACCGCTTTCCTTTGTTGAATGGGGTAAATTCTTTATGACAGAAAGATGCCTATTAAATTTGTTACAAGAATTAGCATATTTCAAGATGGAGATAAAACAAGTGACATATTAAAATCAGCATCTATTCAATACTCTGTGACCTTGCAGTCACATTTTCTGCAATCTTTTTACTTGTTTGGTATTTCACATAAAAACTGAAATAGCCTGAGAGAGCAACTTACTGTCAGATATTTTTGTTGTCAGATATTTTCAGTGCAAGAAAAAAAATCAACCTACTTGCCAAACAGCTCTATTTAAAAGTACTGCAGGGTAATACTGAACTCAAGTTGTTTTTCCCACACTTTAAACAGTTTTATTGACCTTATGCCAAAGACCTGGCTGATTTTATGTCTTTATCCTAAGGTCAGAATCAAAGAATCACAGGACCACAGACTGGTTTGGGTTGGAAGGGACTTTAAAGCTCATTCAGTTCCAAAACCCTGCCACAGGCAGGAACACTTTCCACTAGAGCAGCTTGCTCCAAGCCCCTATGTTCAACCTGGCCTTGAACACTGCCAGGGATGGGGCAGCCACAGCTTCTCTGGGCAACCTGTGCCAGGGCCTCAGCACCCTCACAGGGAAGAACTTCTGCCTAAGAGCTCATCTCAATCTCCCCTCTGTCAGGTTCAAGCCATTCCCCTTGTCCTGTCCCTAGAGGCCCTTGTCCAAAGCCCCTCTCCAGCTTTCTTGTAGCCCCTTTAGGCAGTGGGAGCTGCTCTAAGGTCTCCCCTTAAGGAGCCTTCTCTTCCCCAGGCTGAACCAGCCCAGCTCTCTCAGCCTGTCTCCAGAGCAGAGCTGCTCCAGCCCTCGCAGCATCTCTGTGGCCTCCTCTGGAATCTCTCCAACAGCTCCACGTCCCTCCTGTGTTGTTGCCCAGAGCTGGATGCAGGACTGCAGGGGGCAGTCTCTCCAGAGTGAAGCAGACGGGGAGAATCCCCTCCCTTGGCCTGCTGCTCATGCTCTGGGGATGCAGCCCAGCACATATGGGGGTTCTGGGCTGGAAGTACAGGTTTCTGGGTCATGTCCAATTTTGTGTCCACTGGTATCCCAAACCTCTTGTGTGTAGGGCTGCTGTCAGTCTCTTTATCCCCCAGTCTGTACTGGTACTGGAGATTTCCCCAGCCTAGCTGCAGAATCTTGCACTTGGGCTATTGAACTTCATGGTGTTTGCATGGGCCCACTTCAGCCTGTCCAGGTCTCTCTGGATCCCATCCCTTCTCTCTAGTGAATGATTCACACCAGTCAGCTTGGTGTCAGCTGCAAACTTGATGAGGGTGCACTGAATCGCATTCTCCATGTCACTGATTAACATAATAAATATAATTCATCCTTGTTTGGGCCTCTCAGGGGTACTACTGGTTATTGTTTTCCACTTGGACTTTGAGCTATAGGTGTCACCACCCATCAAATCCATATCTCTCCAATTTAGAGAGGGGATGTGGAGGACCGTTTCAAAGGCCTTACCACAGTCCAGATAGGTGACATCAGTAGGTCTTCCTTATCCACTCATGCAGTCACTCCACTGTAAAAGACCACTAGATTAGTCAACCATGATGTGCTATGTTGGCTGTCTCTCCTCAGTTCCCTGACTTCTTTCTGTATGTTTCAACATGTCTCCCAGGAGGATGTGCTCCATAATCTTATTGGTTAGATCATAGATCATAGATGATTGTTCAAGAAGTATTTAACAGGGGCGTGGCTGTTTTCTACTCTTTAGTATGTTGCAAGAAAATAACTAAATACTCTGTAAAATGACAGACTCACTCAAATGATAGAATTGCTGAGGAAATCTGACAGCACCCAACACTTCCTAATCTTCAATTTAAAGAAAAAGGGGGAAGATAGCTGGTACAGCCTGTTCAAAATCCTCAGCTATGTGAGAACAAAGCTGAAATTAATCTTGACTGATTGCACAAAGATAATTAATGAGAATTGTGAAGACTGAACTATGCCTTGAAAGTTATACTCAAATGTTCTGTCCCTGCCTAGAAGAATTAAAATTTGAGAAGAGCAGATTTTTATTGAAATCTTCAGTTTCAAAAAGGACTGAAACAATCACTGGTGTC